GAAGGACCTATCTGAGAGGTAAGACTCAAACCACTGGAGTGCGGTTCCTGAGATGCCCTTTGCCAATAGGGTTGACAGGAGGATCTGGTGGTTAACTGTGTCAAAAGCAGCGGACAGATCCAGCAAGATAAGTATAGAAGATTTGGAATCCGCTCTTGCCAGTCTTAGGTCTTCAACAACTGAGAGCAAGGCAGTCTCGGTTGAATGTCCACTTCTGAAACCAGACTGGTTGCTGTCAAGGAGGTTGTTCTGTGTGAGAAAGGCTGAGACTTGGTTGAACACAGCTCGTTCAAGTGTTTTTGCAATGAAAGGAAGAAGGGAAACTGGTCTGTAGTTCTCTAAAAGAGATGGGTTAAGGGTGGGTTTCTTCAGTAGTGGGGTTATACGAGCCTGTCTAAATGTTGAGGGAAAAACACCAGTGTGAAGGGATATGTTAATGATGTGAGTGAGTGCAGGTACAACTGCAGGAGAAATGGCTGCAGTTGTACCTGCAACTTTTCTCAGTCTTTAAACAATGTACAAATCTGAATCAAAGAGGCACTGTGTCTAAGACTGTCCTCAGGTGCAATGTATAGAGGTGTATAGTGGACAACAACAAGGGGAGCTTAGTCTACAGCTGGGAGATATTATCAACGTCATGCAGAAGACTCCAGATGGTACTGTTGCAACACAACCCTGCCATTCCAAATTAAATATGTCTAAAATCAATGAACATTTTGAGAATTTGCATGTTCATTTTCTACTCTCTGCTCTTTTGTAGGGTTTCTGGAAGGCCGCAGGGTACAGGATGGAGAGCGGGATGCTACAAATGATCTCTTTCACATGAGCTGGTTCTCTGCTGCATGTGTGGTAGAGATCACCAATGAACATGTGCAGAGACGTCACCTTCGTCAGCGGTATCATGTCCTACAGATGCCTGCTGAAACAACGCAGTGGGGGCCTTGAACTACGAACCACAAAATGCTTTAAATGAGAGACTGTCTACATTTGGAGACTTTGCATTTTTTCACTTACTGACTTGAAATAGATTAGTAAATAATTATATGTACAATCTATATATAATTCAACTGAACTACTGCCAGTTGGTCTTTTGGTCTTAGTTTATATGTATATGTATACGTATATATATATATATATATATATATATATATATATATATATATATATATATATATATATATATATATATATA